TGAATCCACAGGTTCAAGACCAGCCTGGACAACTTGGAAAGACCTCATCTCTACAATAAATCAAAAAATTAGCCGGGTGTGGGGGCACGCGCCTAGTAGTTCCAGCTACTTGGAAGGCTGAGGTGGAAGGATCGCCTGGTCCCATCAGGTAGAAGTTGCAGTGGCCGTGAGCATGCCACTACCCTCCAGCCTGGGTGACAGAGTGAGACTCCAACTCAAGAAAAAATTAAATTAAAATAAATAAATAAAATAAAATAAAAACCAGGTGTATCTATTTAAAGAAAACCAAATAATAATAATGATGACAGAGAAGGAAAAATTTCGCCAAAAGAGGGAGAATTCCCATGGTTAATATGTTTTATAAGTGATAATAAGATAGAAATCTTCAGAAGACTGCTAAAACCATATTTAATATGAAATAATCATTAACACTATGCTTCAATTAATCTGAAATAGCATGCCATTTATTCTATTAGCTTCTATTAGCTGGATTAGCCAATAAAATAGAGAATTAGCAGATCTTGCAGCTGATTGACTCCAAATCCATTCCCAAAACCCCTTTCCCTTGGTTCTATAAAGAATAGAAGGCCAAGATGCAGTGGCTCACGTCCGTAATGCCAGCACTTTGGGAGACCAGGACAGGAGGACTGCTTAAGCCCAGGTATTCGAGACCAGCCTGGGCAACATAGCAACACTTTGACTCTATAAAAAAAAAAGAGTAGGATAAACTAAATCCATGTTCTCCCAGCTTTCCTTTATAGCTAGGGTCAGAAATCATGTAACAGAGTCCAGTGAGTGGAATTTTCTTGGCAGGGTAGGTGATGTGGGTTAGGGATGCAGCAGTAGAAAGGCTTCGGCTTTCCTTAAAAAAATGGGATAAATAAGCTGACATTATACCTTTCTCTCTTCTTCCTTCCTGGGGCTCTGAGGCAGTAAGCATGAGAGAAAGGAAAACGAGAATCAAAGAGATTAAACCCTGATATGATTAAGACACTAAACTAACCTGCTGCTACCTACCTACAAACTTACTATATGTAAGAAAAACCCTCTTGTTTAAGCCACCCTTCAATCAGGTTACATGTTACTTGCACATTGCTTAGGTAATATGATTATCAATCTGCAAATAACATGTGAGAAAAAGAAGCTAAAGTCTTTCTCCTACTCTCTGCTATTAGTCAAAGGGACAGTGTAGCAGTGTACGCCATGGTTTTCTATGGAGTGAAGAGGCAAAACAACCAAGAAAGAATGACTCAAGCTAATATGTTCACATTGATATTTTAATAGTTTGACAAGGAACTTTTGAGCAAAAGATTGAAAAATTTGACCCCTACCTACTTTAGCTGTACTTAGTCCAGCTCAAGGGCTCTGTGAGAAGATAATATATAGCCTAGTGCCTCAAAAATTCTAGGCATTTGATAGACATTACTTGCCTTCTTCTCCCTTAGATTGCAGACAGGATACAACCTGCCCAAGGGCATTCATATTGTATTTTTAAGCATTCATATAGTGGAAAGGACAAATTAGAGTAGTTCTCCCCATTCTCATTTGGCAACTAAGAAAACCTTCTTCAAGATTATTTAATTTATATTAAAGGAACCCCAACAGAAACTGTATTTGTCCAACAGGTCAGAAATTAACAATAGACCAACACAACCTGATCACTTTACAATCATACCCCAATTCCCTTATTAATTTAAGGGCTGTGAACAAGGGCCACTGCCCAAAATGTATAGATAAAATTATTCTGGCCAAACTGAGATTATTTGAGCATCAAAATGAATAATGATTAAAATAAAATCCATGAGTACATACTAAAATAAATAAACAACTAAACAGACAGATAAGGTGGGGCAAGAAGAAGAGAGTTCTTTTTTACAAAAGAACGCCTAATACTGTAGGAGGAATCAAATACATACAAAGTTATTATTTACAGCATTACAGTAATAATTCAGGCAAGAATCATCAATGAATACTGATAGCATTAGGTGAAAAGTTATTAGGGAACCACATATTCACTTAATCGCCAAGTTATCACCTCAGATTATATATTAACTACCAAAGGAAAAAGGGCTCTTTCATAAGAAAAAAAGTTCATCATTACCCATGATGGGGCAATCTGACATCATATGCCCCTGTTGTGATACACTGAGAAGAATATCATTATCTATTTGGTATTCTTGCCCAGTGACGAAACAATCGGACAAATCCAAATTAATGAACATATTACATTAAAAGCCTAGCACAGACTCTTAAAAACTAAGGTTAGTCATCTATGGGTTTTCTAGTAGACAGTTCAGAAAAGGGGTAAGTCAAAAAAATGCACTGACATGGAGGTCAGAGTAGTAGAAAATTTCAAGGAAGAAGAACAAAGACCAAGAAAAATGAATTCAGTGAATTGGACCCATACAATAAAGATTTTTAAAGTATCTACTGGGTCTGTAATTAGAAGACTAACAAGGATTTTAGTGAAAGGAGGACCAGACTATAATAGGTAGAAGATTAATGAGAGATAAAATGGTACACAAAGTAAATGTAGACACCTCTTAAGGAATTTTATTGAAAAGGAAAAAAATTAGGCAGTAACCAGAGCAGTGGTTCTCAACTCTGACTACAGTAAGAATAACCTCAGGAGCTTTTAAAAATTACCAATGCCTGGACTCACCCCAGACTAATGAAATCACAATCCCTGGGGGTGAGGCCCAGCTATCAGTATTTTTAAAAATATCCTCAGTGATACTAATGTACAGCCAAGATTGAAAACCACAGAGTTAAAGGGTAAAGGGGTGGTCAAGGGGCATCAAGATGGAAAAGGGCAGAGGAAGAAGAAAAAGGATGAAATGAAATACCAGAAGAAATAGCTAGGGAATGAATCAGGCACATGAGCTGACAGGCTTGCCTTGAAAAAAGAAAGGACACCTCATCTCAGGAGACTGGAGGGAAAAATGAATGGAGATACAGAGAAGGTGGCAGAGATTTGGGGAGTTCATGCCTAAGGCCCCAATTTTCATAATGAATAATGTAAGTCAGCAGTTGAGAATGAAAGTGAAATTTGGTAAAAATTCAAAATATTTGTTGAGGAAACACAGAACAAAAAACTAATCAAAAGTATTCACAGTTTAATGGAGATTAAAAGCACCTTACTATTTGCAGGGGCAACAATGGACACATTTCTGTTGCTTAACCATCTCCTAGTAAAGAAGTAAGGAAAAGTGGACCACAGCACTTGTCCAAAATTGGTGATTTAGAGGATGGGAGGGGAGAAAAAAGATGCACAGGAGGAAAGAGTTTAGAAGAACTACAGTTGAGAAGCTCAACAATGGGGTCTCAAACAGGTAGAAATGGAAAAGTAACTTACATGCAATTTAACTGGCACAGGATATAGTGGATTTACCCCTGGGCACCAAAAGCTATTCAAACAAGCAAAGATTTCATTGATTTTTGTCCTAGACAATCCCTGTAAACTGAATCACCCATATCCTATATTTGTCCTAAGAAGGAATGTCTGTAACTAACTTTGAAATACACAAAACACAAGATACGAACGTATGGGCAAATAGATGGAGAAAGATGTGATAAAGCAATTACAGTAAAATGTTAATAGAAGATGTGTGTTGGGGAAGAGGGGAAGTGTAGGTTCTAGAACAGTACTCTCCAACAGAATTTTTCTAAGATAATGGAAATTTTATATAATCTGTACTGTCAAATACAGTAACTATCAGCTACATGTGGCCACTGAGTCTTTGAAATGTAGCTAGAGGGATTGAGGCACTTCAAATTTTGAGTTTTATTAACTTTTAATTAATTTAAATTTAAATTGATAGAGATACAGGTGGCTAACAACTGCCATTTCAGACAGTATAGCACTAGACTCATATGGTTCTCGGTTCAAGTCCTGGATGCACAACTGGCTGTTACTTTCTTTCTCTTTTTTTTGAATCAAAGTCTCACTCTGTCGCCCAAGCTGGAGTGCAGCATCACACTCACAGCTACCACAGCCTGAATCTGCTGGGTTCAGGTGTTCCTTCAGCCTCAGCCTTCCAAGTAGCTGGAACTACAGGTGCATGGCACCACGCCCAGCTAATTTTTTTATTTTTATTGTAGAGATGAGGTCTTGCCAAGTTGCCCAGGCTGGCCTCAAACCCCTGGGCTCAGGCAATCCTCTTGCCTCCACTTCCCCAAGTGCTGGGATTACAGATGTGAGCCACTGCACCCAGCTTGTTATTTTATTTCTTTGAGTTTCAGTATACAAAATGAAAGCAGCAACAGCATCTATTTCTTCATAATGATTAAACAACATAGAGCAGATAAAGCATGAAGCACAGTCCTGCACATAATGTGCCCCCAAAGTTTATGTGTTAGAAGCTTAATCCCCAATGCAACAGTGTTGAAAGGTGGGAGCTTTAAATGATGAGGGCTTTGCTCTCGTAAGTTGATTAATGTCTTTATCTCAGACGTGGATTAATTATTTAGGGGTGAGTTTCCAATAAAAGGATGAATCTGGCCCCTTTCTTTCTCATGTGTGCTCTCTTGCCCTTCGGTCTTCCACCACAGGATGATGCAGCAAGCAGACCCTCACCAGATGTGAGCCTCTCAGCCTTGGACTCTCCATCCTCCAGAAATGTAAGAAACAAGACTCTGTTCTTTATAAATCCACCTAGTCTCAGGTATTGTTATAGCAACCCAAAATGGACTAAGACACATTATCATCTATCTATTAGTCTAAGTATTTATTAATATATCATCTATATGTTAATAAAAATGTTAACCAGATACCTATAACATTTATCACCCCTTTAGTTTATCATCTAGGTTAATACAAACTAGGTATTAGGTAACTACAGACATTTAATTCAGCTTCATTTTCATCTTGTCCAAATATGTCCATCTTGTCCACAAAGGTATTAAGTATTAGTATTAGAACCTTACAAAGTTTAGATTACATCTATATATCCTTCGTTGAAACTACCCTTAAAGAGAATGTAAAAACACCAACTACTCACCCTTCAATAGCTGGAGATCTATCAGGTCGAGAACTTCCTTGAGATCTGTATCTCCGAGTCATTGGCAGCCGCGGAGGCCGACTTGGTCCCCAGAAGTCAGTGTGAGTTTGGTGACTCCTCTCGTTGGCTCTATGATCTTGGTCCAGTGGACTACTACTTAAAAATGGTCTAAAATCTTGAAAAAACGTGTGATCCAAATGGTCCCAGAGCTAGTAAAAAAGAGATATAGATCACATGTTAGAAAAAAGGAATCGATAAACATGTGGATTGTTTCCAGTCTTTTGCTACTGCAAATAGCCACTGTGAACATTATTGTGTCTTCTGCTGCAAAGGTATAAGAGTTTCTCTACTAGTGGTCTATTATACAGACTACACATCTTAAACATTACTAGATAATGACAAATTGTTTTCCAAAGTTGTTGTACCAATTTATTCACCCATCAAGAGTGTTTAAAAGTCTCCATTGGGCCACATCCTGGCAAGCACTTGATATCATAGGACTCCTTCCCTCCCTCCCTCCCTCCCTTCTTCCCTTTCTTCCTTCACAATCTGATAGAAAATGACATCTTGCCTTGGGGCCTTTGTTTCTGGTATATAAGAACCTATAGGAGCATTTGTTTAAAATGCAGTATTTTTGGTCCTATGCCAGAAAGTAAATTTAATAGATCTGTGGTGAGCCTGAAATACTCCCTTCAGCATTCCTTGTAAGACAGGTTTATTAATAATAACCCCCTCAGCTATTGTTTATCTGTGTATGTCTTGACTCTCCTTCATTCCTGAAGGACAGTTTTGCCAGACTTGGAATTCTTGGTTGGCAGTTGTTTTTTTTTTACCCTTTCAGCACTTTAAAGTTATCTTACTGCCTCCCAGCCTCCATGGCTTCTGTTGGGAAATCAGCAAAAATTAATCTTATTTAAGATCCCTTGTATAAGGGAGGAGGACCCCCCAAAAAACTGGAATGAGACTCAAAAAAAGTTCCACAATATTTGCTCAAAAAAACTCTCAAAGTTATCATTATTTTCATCATAATTAATGCAAAAATGAAATATTTTAAAATTCTGACTATAAGAAAAGCCAAGCATCTAGCCCATAATATTAGTAAACTGCTTTGATAATTACATGCTTTAGACGACTGTGACTCGTCATCATACCTAATAATATATATAAATTATAAACCTTAAAAGCAGCTTCAACATCAGCATGAAGCATTTTGCTACTTGGATGGAAAGTACAAATTAGTGTAAATTAATCTTAACAGTCAATGTATTTGTGGCTATTTTCATTCCAAAAATGCACCCAGACTATAGAACACAGGATAAAAGAGCACACCTTATAAACTTATACCAAATCAACACCAAGGATAAGAATAGCTTCAGGTCATTTGTCTCTGAGCAGACTTAGATAAGCATAAAAGAAAAAAATAGCTCATACAACAAAACTGGGTATTCAGGACACAGCTTACATAAGTAAAAACTAATAGAGAACACTATTATAGAATTTTGGTGAAATAGCCAAAAGAATCACAGAGACAGTTTATTTGATAAGGTTTGTCCTGAAAAATAGGAAAAGTTACTCTGAATAGAAGTAAAAAGACAGTATTTCTGAAAATATTTGGGTTGAACTATTTACATATTTCAAAATAAAAACAGGACCAGCAATATCTTCCATTTAGCAGAATTTGCCCTGCACTATCACATCACTATCACTATCACATCAGCAACTCTTAAAATATTATTCCATTCCTCAAAAAGTTAAAGTTACCATATGACCTAGCAATTTCACTCATTATATAACCAAGAGAATTAAAAACACAAGATCACACAAAAACGTGACCAAGATATTGAAAGCAGCATTATCCATAAACAGCCAAAAAAATGTAAACAACCTAAATGTCCTCCAACTGATGAAGGATAAATAAAAAGTGGTACATATCCATACAATGTAATATCATGCAGCCATAAAAAGGAAAGATGTACTGACTGACACATGTCACACATGAATGAACCTTAAAAACAATATGCTATGTGGAAAAGAGTCACAAAAGGCCACATCCTGCATGATTCCATTTATATCAAATATCCTATATAGGCAAAATCATAAAGACAAAATGAATTGGCAGTTGGCTAGGGCTGATGGAATTGTAGAGAAATAGGTAGTGACTATGAATGTGTATAACATTTCTTTTGGGGATGATGAAAAAGTTCTAAAATCAGTGGCAATGGTTGTACAACTTTGTGAATATACTAAAACCACTAAACTGCACAATTTAAAAAAGGATATATGGTATATAAATTATATCTCTATTTCTTTTTTGAGTTGGAGTCTCACTCTGTCGCCCACGCTGGAGTGCAATAGCACACTCACTGCCACCCCAGTGTCGACCTGCTGGGCTCCGAGGATCCTTCCGCCTCAGCCTTCCAAGAAGCCAGAACTATAGGCGCGCACTACCATGCCCAGCTTTGTTGTTTTTTTTTAACTTATTATAGAGATGAAGTTTCGCCAAGTTGCCCGGGTTGGTCTTGAACCCTTGGGCTAAGGCAAACCACCACTCAGGCACTTAGGCAATCCACTTGCCTCGGCCTCCCAAAGTGCTGGGATTACAGGCTGAGCCACCAAGCCCGGCCAATTATACCTCAATTTTAAAAAATCATGGTCTACAAAGATGAGTCAATTGAGGGTAAATAATTTCAAAATTATCAACCTTAAAATGTAATTTTAAAAAGGTTCACAGGCAATTTTATGAAAACATTAAGTAAGTAAAAGAACACATACCTGTCACCTCCAAATGCCTCCCAGTGCCTTTTGCAATCCCTCTCTCCTGTCCCTCCCCAACCGCAAACAAACACTGATCTTTCTGTGCTTTGCATTTTCTAGAATTTTATGTAAAGAAAATTCATACTGTATGTAATCTTTATCTGTCTTCTTTTGCCCAGCTTAATTAGTCTCACTCTGTCACCCAGACTGGAGTGCAGTGGCCGCTCCCAGCCACCACAGCCTCGACTGCTGGGCTCCGGAGATCCTTCCACCTCAGCCTTCCAAGTAGCTGGAACTACAGGCGCGCACTACCACACCCAGCTAATTTTTTATTTTATTGTAGAGATGAGGTCTCACCAAGTTGCCCAGGTGGGTCTCGAACCGCGGGCTCAGGCAATCCACTCACCTTAGCCTCCCAAAGTGCTGGGATTACAGGCTGAGTCACCGAACCCGGCTCCCATTCATATTTTTTAATGTACCAAACTTTTATTGCTGAGTAACAGTCCATACCACGGATAACACCACAATTTGTTTATCAATTCACCTGCTGATGGACATTTGGATTGTTTCTAACTTCTGACTATTACAAATAAAGTTATTGCAGTATGAACATATGTGGATATATGTACATGTACAGATTTATGCCTTTTTCTCTCTTGGGTAAATACTTATAAGTAGGAGTGGCCGAATTATTTAGATGTATTTTTATTTTATTAAAAAACAGCTAAACTGTTTTCTGAAAAGGTTGTACCATTTTTACATTCCAGTTTCGGTTGCTCTACAGTGTCACTAACATTAAGTATGGTTAGTCTTCTAAATTTTAACCATTCTGATAGATGTACAGTGGTATTTCATTATGGTTTTGATTTGTATTTCCTTAATGACTAATGATGTTGAGTATCTCTTGGCATACTTCTTTACTGTCTGTACACATTCTTTGGTGAGGCAGACTGTTCAAATCTTCTGCCATTTTTAAGAATTAGGTAGTTTTCTTGTTATTCCAGTTTAAGAATTCTTTATATAGTTTGAATACATGTCCTTTAGCAGATAAGTGATTCTCAAATATTTTCTGCTAACTCACCTTGCTCATTCTCATGAAGAATAGCAGAAGATTTTTATTTTCATGAAGATCTATTTGTTATTTTATGGGTCATGCTTTTGGTGTCTCACTGCTCCCCAGAACCCTGCTAACTACAGGTTTGAAGTATTAGACCCAAAGGTTAAGAGGGAAGAATCAGATTTTCCTCTCCCATCTCCACTTCTGACCTTTTCATTCATTCCTCATTACTCCTCCCTACCAGAGAAATGATGTGTCTGATTGGTGAGCAGCAAGTGCCTACTCTCTACTGATTCACATTTCTCCAATGAGTGGAGTTCATCATGTATTAGTAAGCTGCCATGAATGTAAAAGAAAAGGTTCTACTGCAGCCTCTAATTCTCAGGTAAAGTATCCTGTATAAACTTAGGGTGTCCACAGTTCAACTGTGTTCTCCAATTCAGTTGAATAAAAATTAAATTTTTATTTTCATCTGCTTGGTTTCTATGTTTTAATTCTCAATATAGTCTAGACTCAGAGGTAGAGGGAAGAAGTATGAGCAATGATGAACCATCACATATAATTAGACATGTCTAAAACCGGATAATAGTTTAATAAATCTAGTGTAGACATTAAAGAATATAAAGTCATAAAATAAAAGGATTATGACAAAATGCTACATTTTTATTTTTATTATTATTTTTTTATTTTTTTGAGTTGGAGTCTCACTCGGTCGCCCAGACTGGAGTGCAGTGGCTGCTCCCAGCCACCGCAGCCTCGCCGCTGGGCTCCGGCGATCCTTCTGCCTCAGCCTTTCAAGTAGCTGGAATTACAGGCATGTGCTACCACACCCGGCTGATTTTTTATTTATTTATTTATTGAAGAGATGAGGTCTCGCTGCCCAGGCGGGTCTCGAACCCGCGGGCTCAGGCAATCCACTCACCTCAGCCTCCCAAAGGCGTGGGATTACAGGCTGAGCCACCGAGCCCAGCTTAAAATGCTACATTTTTAAAAGCAGAAATACAATATGGTATACTCTGATTGCAACTGACAACAGTTACGTGGCATGCATATGATAAATGGGAAGTAAAATGCAAAAATAAATAAAGTTATAATAAAATAATGAATAAATACGAGATTTTTATTTTATTTTTTATTTTATTTTATTGTAGAGATGAGTTCTCACCATGTTGCCCAGGCTGGTCTCAAACTCCTGGGCTCAGGCAATCCTCTCACCTCTGCCTCCCAAGGTGCTGGGATTACAGGTGTGAGCCACCGTGCCTGGTGAGATTTTCTTTTTTTTTTTTTTTGAGTTGGAGTCTCACTCCCTTGCCCAGGCTGGAGTGCAGTGACATGCTCACAGCCACCCCAGCATCTACTTGCTGGGATCCGGCGATCCTTCCACCTCAGTCTTCCAAGTAGCCGAACTACTGGCACCCGCTACCATGTCTAATTTTTTTTTTCTTGAGTTGGAGTCTCACTCCTTAGCCCAAGCTGGAGTGCAGTGGCACACTCACAGTCACCCCAGCATCGACGTGCTGGGCTCTGGCAATCCTTCCGCCTCAGTCTTCCAAGTAGCCAGAACTACAGGCGTGCGCTACCGCACCTGGCTAACTTTCAATTTATTGTAGAGACGAGGTATCACCAAGTTGCCCGAGCTGGTCTCAAACCCATGGGTTCAGGCAGTCCACTCGCCTCAGACTCCGAAAGTGCTGGGATTACAGGCTGGGTCACCAAGCCCAGCCAAGATTTTCATTTATTAAAAATATTAAAGTTAAGTATCTATGCCTCAGGACAAAGTCTGAAAGGAAATGTATGGAGAAAGGGAGCTCATAGAGGGTAAAACTCAAGATATTTTTTAATTTTTTTTTTTTTTGAGTTGGAGTCTCACTCTGTCACCCAGACTGGAGTGCAGTGGCCGCTCCGCTCCCAGCCACCGCAGCCTCGACCTGCTGGGCTCCAGCGATCCTTCCGCCTCAGCCTTCCAAGTAGCTGGAACTACAGGCGCGCGCTACTACGCCCGGCTATTTTTTGATTTATTGTAGAGATGAGGTCTCACCAAGTTGCCCAGGCGGATCTTGAACCCGCAGGCTCAGGCAAGCCACTCACCTCAGCCTCCCAAGGCGCGGGATTACAGGCTGAGCCACCGAGCCTGGCTTTTTAAAATTTTTAAAACTGCCATTATAATGTTGCTTATGTAACAAAAACAAATTGTACTTAAATAAATAAATAAATATAAATCAGACAGCTGAGAGCTCCCTGATCTCCTGTGCATACCTGGGTGCTTTTTCTTCCAGGAAGATATCTGTCTTATTTTCTGCTAATCAAAGGCAGCAGCCACAAGCCGCCACTCTTTCACTGAAGCGATCCATCCAGGTAAGCGGAGACTCTAAGATCAGATGTCTCCCTGGCACCAGATCATAGGCAGAAGCTTTCAAGTAATCAATGAAACCCTCAGGTAGCTATGGGCTCACTTTCCTGGGTTATCACTGGGAACCTCAGTACAGCAATGTCCTTCCTCTCTCTCTACAAGCTGTTAGCTACATTTTTAGATTCAGTCTCCACTGATCCTCACACATTATTCAGACATTGCTCCAATTTAGCTGACAACCCTTCCCCTATCTTTAATTTAGCTGGCAACCCTTCCACTATCTTCTTTCCATCCCATTCACTCTCTTAATCTCCCCAACCCACCCTACTTAAAAAAAAAAAAAAAAAAAGATCAATACTGATTTTGTCAGAACTTTTATTGGAGTAAGTCTAATATATCCAATATTTTAAAAATTCAGTTACTAGGCCAGATGCAGTGGCTCATCCTTGTAATCCTAGCACTTTTGGAGGCTAATGTGGAAGAATAACTTAAGCCTAGGAGTTTGAGACCAGCCTGGACAATATAGTAAGACCCTGTCTTTAGGAAAAATTTAAAATTAAAAAAATTCAGCTATTAGTAAATGCTAGTTATAGAAAATAACCTTTTAATTGTACAAGGAGCTCTAGATAAAGAAAAATAGAACAAAACTGAACATAAGCCTTTGCTGAAATTACCAACTAAAGTAGGAAAAAAATAACTTTAGTTTCTATACATAATTTTATTTCTAAGTTTTTTCTTCAGGGACATGGATATGAAAACTTATAGCTTATGAATACTATTTTAAGATAATTTTTTTCACATCTTTGCTTATATAAATTCCACCTACTCTTTAAGACTTCAGTGCAAGTTTTACCTTCCCTATAAAGTCTTAATAATGGCTAAAATTTCTTTAGCATTCACTGTTTGGCAGGCACATTAGGGTCTACATGTTTATCATGTATAACTATTAATTCTCACAATATCCCTATGAAATGCATATTTTTATTATTTTCCCCAATTTACAAACAAGGAAAGAGAGACACTGAGAAATTCTAAGTAATTTTGCCCAGGTTATACAGCCAGTAAGTGAGACTCAGGATTTGCGCTCAGGCAATCTGGCCTCTTTTCCTAAAGACTGTGGTCCACTTGATCTCTTCCTTCTCCTTTATTTATTATATATACCCACAATAAGTTTATTATATTCTCTGTACACTCTTCCTTGTTTTCTTATGTATTTTATATGTGCTTATACTTGCTCCCCAACTAGGCTATAAATTCCTTGCTGGCAAGGCAACCATGACATTTGCTTCCTGCCCCTACTTCTAGCAGAGTGCAACACTCAATATATATACTTTCAACCAGGCAACAGGTAGTGCGTACCTATAATCTCAGTTATATGGGAAGCTGAAGCAGGAAGAACACATGAGCCCAGGAGTTTGATTTTTCCCCCCGACAACTTCTATAATATTATAAAGACATATTTTTCTTACAATTTTAAAATGCAAAGCATCACTTAAAAAGGAGAAAATGGAAATATCAAGGCACGATGATAAGGAAATCCTACAGAGGGAAAATGCGTAATTGTGCCCTTGCTACAAATCCTGTCACTGCTAAAGAACACAAAGTCACAAGCTATGACTCAGCAAAATTAGTTTAACACCTGGAGGATAGCTCATGGCTTCAGTGTCAGATTTAACATTACTAAAGTTAGGAAACTGACTACATACATTTATTTTTCTTCGTACTCAATACATCTTCCTCCTGGTGAGTCATACCTATAAAACTGACAGACCAATCTATTTTCATTACCTAAAAGAGAACTAACACTTAAGAAAAATCAAATGAAGTTTTTTTTGCATATGCAAACTCAGTAAATGACAATCTGTGTTATCAGGAATAGCACACACAAGGGAAAAAAATACTGAAATCATAAAGGCTTCTGCTCCTGGAATGCAGAATAAATCTTAAATAATGTTTTTCAATCCATCAAAATGAGAAAATAAAAATGGGACCTCAAAACATGATCTGTCTGGAATCACACTCTTCTTAATTCATCTACCAAGGCAGTTCTAATATCCAGTTAATACTGGATATTAGAAGAACCAGAGACTATGTCAAAAAACCACCCTTAACAGAACAGGACTATTACCCAAACATTCATAGTTTCTCGACTATGTATCTAACAATATCAGATTTGGAAGGTTACAGATAATTTACAGGGAAAAAAGATAATTTACAGGGAAAAAAGAAGCCTAAGACTTTATGAACTTCTTATTAAATATCACTTTTCAAATAAACTGCTAATACAGTTTCAATTTACACACAAAATAGAAGACATTTTGCTAGTTCTCTAGGCACTCAGCTATCTCTAGAAAAGACTAATGTGCTCCTAAAACACAAAGAAATTTTGATTATGAAATTTAACTTTTTTTTCCTTTTAGTGTCTATCAACTTTCTGTTTTTTGTAGGATGAGCTGGTTTATACCTGTTGGGCTATAGTCCCTAAATGATAAAAACAAAGTGTTAACACCAACAAATTACACATTTAAAAAATGGTTTTAAAAACGACAACTAAAGAACAACCACTAAAGAAGAGACTTTAGGTCAGTGGGTATAGTAAAAACAGAAAATTAGGCCAGGCTCAATGGTGCAGCCTGTAATTCCAGTACTTTGGGAGGCTGAGGCAAGTGGACTGCCTGAGCCTGTGGGTTCCAGACCAGCCAGGAAATCTGGCAAGACCTCGTCTCTACAATGAATAAAAAATTAGCCAGGTGTGATAGCACATGCCTGTAGTTCCGGCTACTTGTAGGGCTGATGTGGCGGGATTGCCTAAATCCAACGGGTCAAGGCTACAGTGGCCATGAGCATGCCACTGCACTCCAGCCTGGGCGACAGAGTAAGACTCCAACTCAAAAAAAAAAAAAAAAAAGAAAGAAAAAAAAACAAAATTACTCTGAATTTAACATAAAATGATATTCAAGGATGAAGACTAATGCCCTGTTTTCAAAATTATAGTTAAGATTTTTGTTTTTCCCCCAAAATATGGATGTTATATTATAAGAAGACATACAAATTAACTACAGGTCCCATTTTAGGATGGGAAAGGCAAGGAAATTTTTTATCCTTAATCTATACCAAACAACTATATTGACTGGAGGTAAACTCCAGAAACCACTACCTCTATGCAAGGCTGAAAACTACTTCATTATGACTTAGATAACAATTGATTCTGGCCTGCCCTTTACCTGGTTGTCTTGCCACTAAAACAGAGTCTGCAACACTGTTATTTTCAAAAACAAAACAAGCTTTTTATTCTCACACCATATACACAACAGAATTTAAAACATTACTAGGTTTAAAAGAGTACAGCTTGAGACCATTACTTTTTCCTAATCATTTATTAACAACAATATGCCCAAGACTCCACTACTGAAAACACAAATCTTTCCAAGAGCTACTCTGGTCCACATATTTCTTATACTGTACATTCAGTTGAACTCTGATGTTTTGCTGCACTGGGAATTGAATATCTGTCATGACTTTAACACCTACCCACTTCCTAAAGAAATCCCTACAGTCAAAGAAAAACTTACCTCTGCAAAATGTGTTGATGTGCTATTGTCTATCCTGCTGCTGCCACCACCTAAAAAACTAAAGGGAAAAAGGAATGAGTGGTGATTCTATTCCCAGAAACAAGTTCCCCTCCCAGAGGCTAAATATAGAATGGCACAATGAGAACAAAAACCCAATGAAGAAAAATATCTCATCCCAACACAACACCTATAAAAGAAATCATGAAGATACTGACATATAGATTAATCTTTGAAAAAGTATCCATAAACCACAAATCAAGTGGTTTTCAAGTGAATCAAGGTTAAATCAAGTGAAAAATCGGGGAAGGAGATACCGCAGAGAAGTAAGAAGGACCTACAGCCAACAAAGCAATTCAAATTTGGCCTAGCAAAAGAAGAAAAACAAAGATTTATATTCAAAAAGGCTAAGAAAACAAAATGTTTCACTAAAAAAACTATTCAACCACCAGATGAACACAACATTTGGGCTACAATAGTTAATATTTCTTGGGAATAATTAATGTAGTAATATAAGGGGCCTAATACTACATTTAGCACATTGTAAAGGGGTTCAATAAATATCTCTTCTTCTGATAGTTTATCCTATTCTTTGATTATCCTACCCACCCTTAGGAACCCATCTCTCAACTGCTACCTTCCTTATTAAGTCTTTTCTGAACTCACCAAGAAAATGATACTCCTCCACATCCCTCTAAACTGTAACTTTGATTCTAAATACTACCTTGTATTATCAATATCTAGGACTTGCCTCATCTGTTTCCGTCTCTTTCCCTCCCTTTTTTTTTTTTTTTTGAGTTGGAGTCTCACTCTGTCGCTCAGACTGGAGTGCAATGGCCATTCACGGCCACCACAGCCTCAACCTGCTGGGTTCTGGCGATCCTTCCACCTCAGCCTTCAGGTAGCTGGAACTACAGGCGCACGCTACCACGCCCAGCTAGTTTTTTGTTTATTGTAGAGATGAGGTCTCGCCAAGTTGCCCAGGCGGGTCTCAAGCCCAGGCAGGTCTCGAGCCCAGGCAGGTCTCGAGCCCAGGTTTGGGCAATCCACTCACCTCAGCCTCCCAAAGCACGGGATTACAGGCTGAGCCACGGAGCCCGGCTCCCTCTTTCATAAATATATATTCAAAGGGCAAAGACTGTACTTTATGAATGCCTCAAATAAATGTACAGTGTTTATTATGTGTTGGACATTACACAGCAATCATCTTTAAAAACTCTGCAATGCCATATCCTATACTGATAACTCAAAAATAAGAGCCACTGAATTACTATCAAATGTATAAATGATAAAACAAGTAGCTGGTCCCAAAGACCCTGAAGAGTGGGAAGAAATATTAAATCCCATTGTCCCCATGAAGTCTGCAAAGAAGAGAGGAAACTGGCTAACACTTTGGAGCCAGAGAGATAGAAAGAATCACAAGAACTGCTGGATATCACTTTTACTTCAAGAGATACAAATAAGGACACAAACATACATATAAACACATACTCCAATGATATAAAGTTCACAAACTACAACAAATATTCTTCATTTTCAGGATTACAATACCAATCCCAGCATTGAGGAAACAAACACACCCTGGTTAGTCTAAAGCCAAAAGTAAAAAAGCAAAGCTAATGCCATTCTTTATGTAATCATTCTCAAGTCTTACTCTGTTTGTAAATCCACTTAATACCCATATTTGTTTCAGAAAAATGCTTTTGTAAAAACCACTTCAAAAGTATAGCAGTAAGCCCCAAAGTACCTGTATATCTAAGCTAAATAAACAGCTACTGAACTACCACATACCATAAAAAACAAAGTTGAGTAGCTATGTGTCTGTTTTATTGTTAAGGCCAAGACAGACTTTCACAGCTCTTCCTTCCTGCCTTTACTACATGGTTTCAGAGATGCAATTATCCTTTATAACTGAAACCATCAACTCTATCTTTTCAGGTTCTGCTCTCCCTAAAATTCCCTCAGCATTTCCCTTTCCTTAAAATTCCTTTGTATTTTAGGGGTAACCCCTTCAGGTCCCCTCCCACTGTGGGAGCGTTTCTGTCCTCTCAATAAATCCTGCTCTCTCACTAAAATATAAAAAAAAATTCCTTTATATTTTTAAAAAGAGCTAATCATAAAGAAAGAATAATAAAAACAACCATATTGCTCTGAGAAATGTTACAAAGCTTAAGAAAACTTACAAGGTGCCCTTCTAAATGTATTTTTAGTAGCAGATGGGGTCCATTAGCCAATATTTATATGCAAGGACTTCCTCTTACCAGTTTTTACCACCTACTTACCAGTACAATTGCTAAGTATTCAAATTGGCAAACGTTTATGAACATTATAGAAGGAAATATCATGCTGCCTCTAAGACACTGATTCAAAAGATTTTTCACTTATTTAAAAACACTGATCTAAAAAAACACACAGAAAAATCACTGATCTCTTTCAAAATACACAATCTTTGTATGTGAGTAGTTGCTACCAATAGCACCTAGGAAAACCTTTGACGTACAAAGGCACAAATAAAACAATTAAGTAAAGAACAGGATCCACAGAATTCATCGTTCCTTGCTAGACAAATATTCATCCTGCAGTTAAACATCCTCATTTATAACTACACTTTGTAGGTACTGAAGAAACCAGGATTACTATTTAAGAACACTTAAGAAAAAATAAGCCCATTAATTGTTCCCCCACAACCAATATATCCTTTATTGAGCACATGCAGAGTATGTGGCTGAAACAAGTATTTGATGCAATTACAACAGCACAAATAAAAAGTTATCCCAAGTTAGCATGCCATTCAAACATTATAGCTAATTTTGCTGTCATGCTCATATTCCAGGTTTAATGTTGGTATTATGTTATATAAAGTCAATATTACTACATCAACATTTAAGTGTTTGTATCAAACTAGATCCCATGCCACATATTGCCCCAGAAGCTCCAGCTCATTTACACATATAATCACCAATCATTAGTAAAGTAAAACTAATAGTACATACTGTAAAATGTGTAGGTTTTCCTGGTTGTGGAAGGGAACTTCAATTTAGAGTCTGCCAACAGCAACAAGTAAAGGAATTACCTACTGCCATTAAAATCCCCAGAGTTACTCCAAGATTCAAAAGCTTCAGATAGATTCCTTTTAACTAGTTGGTACTTCTTCAATTGTCCAACCAATGTTTAACCAGATAGTCCCCAAAGAACAAATGTGCTATTGAATTTAGCCTTTAAAAGGTCACTCTATCAATGCTATTCTACAATTTATTAAGATTTTATAGTTACAACCAAAAAGGAATATATAATATTGTCACTTTCAGAAATATTTCCCCTTTTCATCAGTTGTATACCTTCACTAAGGTCAATGAGAACAAATTTCAAGCATTATAAACCCAAATATTAATATTACAATGGCAAGATGGCATAGGTTTGACAGTAATAATCTTCATAAGAACAAGGAACCCAAGGCTTCCCCAAAGCAGAATAACAACTCAACTTCCCTAGCTAGAAAAGCCCGTTTACCTTTTTAGGAATCTTTGTCAGAAGTCACTCCCTAGTCCACCAAGTAGCAATTTACCTTCAGACAACAGAGTAGTCACTAAAAACTAACTAATAACCTAAGACAAACCCCAAAGTCTCAGAAAATAAATGAAAGTTTACCAGATTTACTCTGATTTGGGTATAGAAGTTTCCAAGGAATGTCACACACAATCAGGAGCAACAGATCTCATCATACCCACTGTCACATCACTTTCCAAATTTTCCCACCTTCCTTTCCCTTCACTCTCCCTTTCTTCTGCCCTCTTTTGTGTGTGCTCAGTTGTGCATATCCCTTCCCTTCTCCCTCTCTTGCATTCTCTATCTGCAGAGAGAACCCCCATGAGCTTTGTTTAATAAAACAAATTCCTTTCAATTTCCTCGGTCGATACTGAAAGAAAATAGTTTTGATAACAGAATTCCTGATTTATTCATAAGCTTGTACAATACCTGGAATCATCTGTCACTTCTTCAATAAAGCCTGATTCACATCTGGGACAAATATATTCCTACAAAAGAAAGGAAGAAATAAATAAAGTTTTTTCAGTAGAAAGCTAAGCGACGTACGTAGTCTCAGAATAACATGCAGTATACAGACTGACGCTCTGAAGCACTGTATGTACTAGCTGACTCCAGGATAGAGTTTTCTATTATACTCTGGCAAATATAGAATTCCATAAGATATTTACAGAATGGCTTCATAGCTACCTAAGTGGTTCCCACTGAGAGCTGAAAGGGGAAGTACCAAATTTTTTTCCTTCCTTTTCTTAAATTTTGATTTCTTTTTTAACTGGAATAAATTCATCACCGAATTTCCTCTTCAAATCTAACGAGAAAGATCCATTATGCATCTTAAACCAGTAAAATATTATAATACTGATGGATATAGAAAATGTTATTATTTTTACTATGTACATAGAAGCACTATAAAGTAACAGCATAAATCAATGCGTAGACCAGGAAATTACAATGAGGCATTCTAATTTATTTTCTGATCACCAACAATTCCAAATAAAACTTAATATTCTCAAATATTCTACAGAAATGACAATTCAAATTACCAAAACAATTTCATTAAATCAGTTTCTATTTCCTTCAGAATAAAACTTTTAAGTAATATCAAACTTTGGGGATAAGAAAGAATATAATTTACAGACTGCTTTATCAAAATTTTAAAAAGTATATTTTTAACTGCCTATTTAAAATATATCTGGAAAAAGCATTTTCAACTATTTTCTTGCCCCCTATAATACTTTCTGAACCCTAAGCTTTGTTTTATTCGAAGAGGACATATGCTGCTATTTGGCTGCTCAAACAAAGACAGGATGGTAACTTAAACACTCAAATACTTTCTTTAAAGGGATATAAAGGAAAAAAGCACCTCATCAACAGGGTACCTGCATAATGAACATTTGTATACCTAACCCTGAATTGTACCCCACATCTTTAAAATTAAAAGTTAAAAAAAAAAAGACCAACCCCTCATGTCAAGATGATTTGTTTTATGAGGAGAGAGTCAAACCAAGAAGCAGTAAATCTAATAAAATGATTGCTATAATCAATGAACACTGGAACCAAAAACAAACACCAAAGTTTGCCTGGGAGAAACAAAGAAGGCCGTGTTTGAAACAAAAACCTAAAAATATTATCTTGTCTGTTCAATGAAAAAAGGAAATTACAAGTTTAGGACCATGATTATAGAACACAGCATTCATGGAGTTTAGAGGGGAATGGTATATACGTGTGGATATACAAGACAGGGACTAGACCGTGGAAAACTTTGGATTACCATGAACTTTAGACCCTGTGTATCAGAAACTTTTAACCTTTTTCCTCCATTTCACCCATGAAGGATGAAACACATTCACAATGGGCATACTGTAATCACTCCAGAAATAAACTGGAGACTATATAAATCTCTGAGTCCTTCCCTCTACTCCTTCATCCCCCACCCTCCTGGGAAGCTATAACTCCATCCCTTTCACAAATCCCATTATGAAAGTTTATCTGAGTGCAAGTGAGATTGATTTTAGAAGACTCATGTCTAAAAAAATTTTTTAAAAAGAGTCAACCACAAAATGGAATTCATCAGAATCACAGTGCTGGGCCCTCCTCTTTCTTCCCTCTCCCTCTTCCTCATTCCCATTGCTTTAAATATCCTTATATGCATATGCTTACTTCTAAATGTATCTCTCCATCCTAAGTCACTTCTGAATTCCAGATTCACTTGTACTGTTATGTATGCTTTCTCACATGCATTTTCTCTTACATACACACACCCCACCCTTGGGTGACATACTAGTTTGCTCATACTGGAAACCTGGAAGTCATTCCTGACACCTCTCTCTTTCACATCCTACCATCAAACTCTGGTACCCCAAACTCAATCTAAAGCCGGGCTTGGTGGCTCAGCCTGTAATCTTGCGCCTTTGGGAGGCTGAGGTGAGTGGAATGCCTGAGCCCGCGGGTTCGAGACCCGCCTGGGCAACTTGGGGAGACCTCATCTCTATAATAAATTTAAAAAAAATTAGCCAGGCATGGTAGCGCGTGCCTGTAGTACCAGCTACTTGGGGAAGGCTGAGGCAGAAGGATTGCTGGAACCCAGCAAGTCGAGGCTGCGGTGGCCGGGAGCGGCCACTGCACTCCAGTCTGGGCGACAGAGTGAGACTCCAACTCAAACAAACAAACAAACAAACAAACAAACAAATCTACATACTTTTTGCTCCACTGCCACTACCTTAACCCAAACCAGCACTGTCTCTGAGCAATGAAAACCTTTCCTCTTCCGTCATGTCCTGTTTCTCTTTTACCCTTTCCAATCTGTTCTGCATATCGAAGAACCATCTTCTTTAAAACATAAAACAGATATTGTCATTCTCCAGCTTAAAACAATTCCCAAAACATTTAGGATAAACTCTAACTCTTTAACATGACTTACAAGGCTGGCCTCTGCTCAACATGACAATCCCATTTTAGGCTACTATCTCCCTCCTTCAGTGCCTTCTAGTCACAGTGGCCTTCTTTTATTTCTTCTAACTCATCAAGCTCATCACTGCCTTGAAGGTTCCTATAACTAGAACATTATTCCCCTAACTTTCTGCATGGCAAGGAGCTTCTAATTCTTTAGATCTTCTTTTAATATCACTTCAGAAAGGCTTTATTTTATCATCCACTCTAAAGTGATTTCCTCTTATTATTTTTTTCTAGGGCAACCTGATCATTCTTTTAAAGTTCTTATCACAATTTATAATTATATATTTGTTTATCCTTCGTTAATGTCTATCTCCATTCAGTAAGCTCTAAGTTTCCTAATGGTAGGGTTCCCATTAATTTTGTTTACCATTATATGCCTCAAGTAGACAGGTGTTCAACAAATATCTGCAGAATAAATGAACATGAAATTACTTGCCACCCACCTTACAACTAGGAGGAAACAAAGAACCCAAATCAGGCACAGGTCAGAGAATGGACAGGGTGGAAATAAAGGACTAAAAGATCTGAAAGCCGGGTGTGGTGGCTCACGCCTGTAATCCCAGCAATTTGGGAGGAGGAGGCGAGGGGACTGCCTGAGCCCTGAGTTTGAGACCAGCCTGGGCAATCTGGTGAGACCTCATCTCTACAATAAATCAAAAAATTACCTTGGCGTGATGGCATATGCCTATAGTTACAGCTACTTGGAAGGCTGAGGTGGAAGGATTGCCTGAGACCAGCAGGCCAAGGCTGCATTGACTGTGAGCATGCCACTGTACTCCAGCCTGGGCGACGGTGAAACTCCAACACAGAAAAAACAAAAAGAAAGATTTGAAAACTTGAGATAGTGTGGCCAGATCACAGAAACAGCAGACCTGATAATTTGGTGGTAGAACTATTCTGGATGATCACAAGGTCCGGGAAATGGTTATGAGAGTAGATGGTTTAGATAGAGTAGGGATGAAGGTCTTTAAATTAAAAGGTCACCTATATTGACAATGAACTTCCAAATTAATGTCTGGAGTTGTGGTGGAGAAATGGTAATTTCAAAAGGCAGATTTCACAATTAGGAAGACAAAAGACTCTGAGACAAGAATCAAACTGATTTAGGTAAGTGTACAAGTCCTCTCTTCGTGATCGCAGTCATGGTTCTTGGAACCAGGTTGTCAGCCACCAAAGCTTCTGTACAGAACAGGACACTTCAGAGGTATAATCCAAACTGTAGAAGTGCTCCATGATTTTCGTGTCACTTGGAAGTGGCAAATACTTCCATTTACAAGCAGCCATCAAATCTTTCTAAGTAATTCTACTTTGATTACAAAGAAGCCACAAGTTTTTAAAATGCTGTTAATTATTCTTGACAAAAGCAGCTAAATATAAAACAAATCTCCCAGCCCTGAACTAATGTTCCAACAATCAGTATTACAGGACATAGAGAACTTTTTTTTTTTTTTTTGAGTTGGAGTCTCACTCTGTCGCCCAGACTGGAGTGCAGTGGCCAGAGCAGGGTTTACTGAGAGGACAGAAAAGCTCCCAGAGTGGAAGGGGACCTAAAGGGGTTGCCCCAGAGAACTTTACAAGTTCTTCATTCTCTAATTGTCAAAGTAAAAAAATTGTACCCTTGTCGCTTACATACTCTCATAGTCTGATTTCAGAACAAAGTTTGGTCTCAGAAAACTACCGCATTTCCATTCCTTTCATCTTTCTCTACCACCACACTTCTCTCCATACCCAGGCCTTGGCCTCAGTATCATCCTGACATATTCAAATAGAGTTCTGAATTTTAAGCTTAAGGGTTACGTATGTGTTAAGATGGGGAAATGGGGGTAGAGAACAAATCAAGGATAACGATGAATTAAGAGCCCATCAAATGTCTGGCACTATGGAAATCTCTCTGTACTATAATAATAATAATAATACATCAAGTCTTTACACCCAATCTTTCCCCAAAATATTTCTAACATATAAAGCCTGCACAGTCACAAAATCTTATGCCCCAGAATTCAGTAAGCCATCTCTGTATCCCATCTATAAAAGAAAAACATAACAAAAAACCTAAATCACTTATCCAGAGCCGCAGGAAACAGGAACCTAGCTGTTTCCACCAAACCAAGCTGCTTTCCTCATAGAATCTAAACATTTATTATATACAACTCTGATGAGGATACTCAGTAGCAGGTACACTTGAATGAATTGTTTCAGATGTTCAACTGCCTGTTTCGTCTAAAAATACCCACAAGCAGAAATATTTCTCATCATTAATAGTCTGAATCAGGAACAACTCCCTAAGCATAGCTTATCACTGATGCTTACTCACTTAAAAGAGCAACACACAAGGACACAAAACACTTGAGATGTAGGAAAGAAAGGAAAAGGATAGTTTTTTGTTTTTTGTTTTTTGGTTTTGAGTTGGAGTCTCACTCTGTTGCCCAGACTGGAGTACAGTGGCCGCTCCCGGCCACCGCAGCCTCGACCTGCTGGGCTCCGGCGATCCTTCCGCCTCAGCCTTCCAAGTAGCCGGAATTACAGGCATACGCTA